CTAAGACACTAAGTCTGTGTTGTTTCAAGCCGCGGAGTTTGTGATGATGTGTTACAGCGGCGCCGGCGCAAACTACTCCACACCAAGCACTCCCACCTGTGCCCCAAGCTGGCATTTGCCCTTCTCCATCTGACCATGAGCGACTCCCGTCCATCCGTATGGCCAGAGGCAGTGAGAGCTTCGGGACATGTGCCCGTGCGACAGCGGTGGGTGTCATGACTTTGGGCCGCTTGCTGGTGTCACTTACGGCCGCCCCTGGCCTTGCGGGTTCTCAATCCCAGTCCTGCTACTCCTGTCTTAGACAAGTTGCTGCAGCACCAGCAGAGGGTCTGGAAGAGTCCAGCTCATGGTGGGCAGCGCTGGCCACATGGTTACCTGACATCATGGTCAGGTGCTCCATATCTTGCAGGGACCCGTAGCATGCCAGGCAGGAGCCTTTTACTTCAATACTTTGACGAGTTTTTTTGTTTTTGTTTTAAAAATACGTTTTTTATTGATTTCAGAGAAAGGAAGGGAGAGGGATAGAGAACAGAAACATCAACGAGAGAGGAACATCATTGATCAGCTGCCCGCTGCATCCCTGCTACTGGGGATGGAGCCCGCACCCCGGGCATGTGCCTGGCCGGGAGTTGAACTGGTGGCCTCTTCGTTCCTGGGTCAATGCTCAACCACTGAGCCACACCAGCTGGGCACAGATCTACTTTCTGTCTTCATATTGTTTGCCTTTTCTAGAAAGTTCATATAAATGTAATAATACAGCATGCAGTCTTTTTTTGCCTGGTTTCTTAATGTGGATATACCACAGTTTGTCCATTCACCAGTTGATGGACAGGAACAACACGGTAAATACGTACTTAGTTCCTTCCAGATTGGGGCTACGTACATGTTACTTTGTATAGTTGCTTAGTGGTTTCTTATTGTTTTCCCCTTCACATTTTTGTTTTTTACATATCTTTATTGATTTCAGAGAGGAAGGGAAAGGGAGAGAAAGATAGAAACATCAATGATGAGAGAGAATCATTGGTTGGCTGCCTCCTGCACACCCCACACTGGGGATTTGAGCCCACAACCCAGGCATGTGTCCCTGATCAGAATCGAACCGGGGACCCTTCAGTAGGTAGGTCGACGCTTTATCCACTGAGCCACACCAGCTAGGGCTATTTTCCCCTTTGAATTACCTTGGTGCTTTTGTCAAAAACGAATTGACCATATAAGTGTGAGTTAATTTCTGATCCCTCTATTCTATTACATTTATCTCCACTGTCTTGATGACTGTAACTTTACAAGTCTTGAAATAAAATACTTAAGTCCTTCATCCATCTTACTCAGAACACTTTGAATAGCATTGGTCTAAACCACTGTTAGGCCAGCGGTAGTTACATTCAGAATGGCATTTGTAAGTTTCTCTTCCATAGTTTTCTGCCAAATGTTTATAATTAAGAGCTCAATGTCAGACAATGTCAATGCCAATGGAGAAATTCCAAGTTCAGGCAGAGAAGGTGGGAGGAGTGCTAATAATATCTGAATATTGTTTGGTACTGATTGACTTGACGAAGTTCACTTCATAAAAAGTAACTCTGGCCTTTGCAGATTGTTCTCAATGAATTTCTCTTCTTCTCTGCCAATAGATCTCTTTCTTTCCTTTTTGGGGGTGTTGTCAGTCTTTTTATTTTTACTTATTTTTTTCTTTATTGGTTAAGGTATTACATATGTGTCCTTATCCCCCTAGATTTCTTTTCTTTACTGATTTTCACCCTTCTGTGATCTTAGTTGCTGGGAAGTGTGAAGCAGAGGAAGTTTTCAGGCAAGAGATATACCTGGGCCTGTGCCCACAGATGTGGTCTTTTCTTCCTCCAATTTTTACACTTGTAGTAAAATATACATAATATAAAATTTTCTATCTTAATCATTTTTACGTATACAGTTCAGTGGTATTAAGTGCATTCACAATGTGCAACCATCACCACCATTCATCTCTATAATTCTTTTTATCTTGTAAAACTGAAACTCTATCCATTAAAAACTCTCCATTCCTTCCTCTCTCCCAGCCCCTGGCAACCACCATTCTACTTTCTAGCTCTATGAATGTGACTACTATAAGTACCTCATATAAGTGGAAGCATACATTGTTGGTTTTTGTGTGACTAGCTTATTTCACTTAGCTTAATGTCCTCAAGGTTCATCCATGTTGTAGTGTATGCCAATTTCCTTCCCTTTTAAGGTTGAATAATAAATAGTCACTGTGTGGATGAACCATGTTTTGCTTATCCAATTATCCATTGATGAACACTGAGTTGCTTCCACATTTTAGCTTTTATGAATAATGCCGCTCTGACTATGGGTGTACAAATATCCCTCTGAGAGCCTTCTTTCAAGTCTCTTGGATATATACCTAGAAATGGAATTGCTAGATCACGTGGTAATTCCCTCTTTAATTTTTTGAAGAACTGCCATACTGTTTTCCATTGTGGCTGTACCATTTTACTTCCCCACCCCCAACAGTGCACAAGCGTTCCAATTTCTCCACATCTTCATCAATGTTAGTTATTTTCTGGTGTCTTTTTTTTTTTAAATAGTAGCAATCCTACTGAGCATGAGGTGGTCTCTCCTGGTTTTATTTGCATTTCCATGCTGATTAGTGATATTGAATATCTCTTCATATGCTTGTTGGCCCCCTTTGTATATATTCTTAAGGGAAATGTCTAGTCAAATCCTTTGCTCACTTTTGATCAGATTATTTGTTCTCTTTTGCTTTTGTTGAGTTTTAGGAGTTCTTTGTTTTTCTGGATATTAATAACTTGTCAGATATATGATTGCAAACATTTCCTCCCATTCTCAGGGCTGCTTTTTTACTCTGTGGTTTCTTTTGATGTACAAAATTATAAATTTTTCATACAGTCCAATTTGCTTGTTTTTTCTTTTGCTGCCTATACAGAAGGGGCATTTTGAGAGACCTGGGAACATGAATGAGGATACCAGAGGAGGCAAAGTCCCCAGGTGGTTTCACGATGGTTGGGAGCAGAACCATGCCATAAATATTCCAATTCTTTATTTTTAAACCCATGACACATGGCTGCTTTATTATTGCTTTATACTTTGGATGGTCATTTAGAGGAAGCTGAATGTTCACTTTTCTTATTGCTTTTTTTTTTTTAATCCTCACCTGAGGATATTTTTCCATTTATTTTTAGAGAGAGTGGAAGAGAGAGGGAAAGACAGAGAGAAATATCAATGTAAGAGAAACACATTGATTGGTTGCCTTCTGTAGGAGCCCTGACTAAGGCCCAGGCTGGGGAGGAGCCTGCAACCGAGGTATTGAACCTGGGACCCTTCAATCTACAGGCCGATGCTCTATCCACTGAGCCAAACTAGCTAGAGTTTTCCTTTAGTATTTTTAAAAAGTTTTTCTTATTCAAAGGATTGCTTTAAATAACCTAGCCTGGCCCTAACTGGTTTGGCTCAGTGGATAGAGCGTCGGCCTGCGGACTGAAAGGTCCCAGGTTTGATTCTGGTCAAGGGCATGTACCTTGGTTGCGGGCACATCCCCAGTTGGGGGTGTGCAGGAGGCAGCTGATCGATGTTTCTCTCTCATCGATGTTTCTAACTCTCTATCCCTCTCCCTTCCTCTCTGTAAAAAAACATCAATAAAATATATTTAAAAAAATAAAAATAACTAAATAACCTAGCCTGTCATTACTAAAAGTGAAACATTTACCATTTTGTGAAACTTCTTGTATAAGGCAGAGATTGTATCTTTTGTGTTGGGTAGAATTCAGATATAAAACCAACTGCTTAGGCCATTTTTCTGGAATGTACTTTTATTTTTTGCTTGTCCACTATTCATCTACTTATTTAAGATTCAGCTTAAATATCTTCTTTAGTAGTCCCTTATTCACCTTCCAGTTTCCTAGCTCTTTGTACATCCTTTCTGGTATTATTACATTGTATCATCAGTATATGTTTATATTTCTGGATTCTCTAATAGACTGAGAGCTGATTGCTGGTTGAGGCATTATATTATTCATTTTTGTAATAGAGATTCTAATATAGTTCATGATAGATGCTTAAAAATATTGGCTAAATTGAAAAATGAAAATTACATTTAAAATGAATTAGTAACAATAATAGGAAATTCGGTTGCTAACTTTACAAATTATATAAAAATCATTGATCCCTACAATGAAACTATTACTAGAAAGATCAGAACTACTGCTTAAATACCAGCAGTCTATTGTTAGTTACTTACTACCACTTATACCTTGAGCCAAATTAAGTAGGTATTAGTACTGTTTCATTTTACAAATAAATGGCTTAAAGAGATGTTTGCTTGTCCATGATGAGGTGCTAAGAAAGGAGAGCAGGATTCATGCTCTTTACCAGAGATTGGCAAACCTTTTCTACAAACACCCAATTAGTTAATATTTTAGGTTTTCTGGGCCATACAATCTCTGCCACAATTATTCAACTCTCTGATAGTAGCATCAAATAAGCAATATGTAAATAAATGACTGTGATAGTTTCCAGTACAATTTATAAAAATAGATAGTGGCAAAGATTTGGCTCACCGGCTGCAGTTTGCTGATCTCTGCTCTTAACAATTACACTATTCTGTTATTTTTTCCTGTAGGCTCCAAAGTTTTCAGTTCAATACATTTTTTAATATATTTTATTGATTTTTTACAGAGAGGAAAGGTGAGGGACAGAGAGTTAGAAACATCGATGAGAAACATCGATCAGCTGCCTCCTGCACGCTCCCTACTGGGGATGTGCCCGCAACCAAGGTACATGCCCTTGACCAGAATTGAACCTGGGACCCTTCAGTCCGCAGGCTGACGCTCTATCCACTGAGCCAAACCAGTTAGGGCAGGGGTCCTCAAACTACGGCCCGCGGGCCACATGCAAATACAAATATTGTATTTGTTCCCGTTTTGTTTTTTTACTTCAAAATAAGATATGTGAAGTGTGCATAGGAATTTGTTCATAGTTTTTTTTTTAAACTATAGTCCGGCCCTCCAACGGTCTGAGGGACAGTGAACTGGTCCCTGTTTAAAAAGTTTGAGGACCCCTGAGTTAGGGCATCAATACATTTTTATTGCATAGATTCTAAGTGCAAGCCACTGAGCTTGGTCCTGGATAAAACGAGGAGGACAAAGTCCCTGACTTGAGGGACTTCAGATGCAGGAAGGCGGTACATAAACACGTTTATAGCCCAAAGCTGTCTTTGAAAGGTCAGAGCCAAGAGAGGTCTGACCAGAGCTTTTCCTGATTGACACAGGATGCTTTGGTGGCAAAGGTGGCAATGGCATGAGCTTTCTAGTGAGAGAATCATAGGCAGAGGTAATAAGGAGAAAGTGAGATAGAGGAGCCAGCACAAGCAAGAAGTTTTCTCACCATCATTCATCTTCCATTCTCTTTACCTGTGTCCTCGTTCTCTTTTCTGTACAGAAACCATACACATTTTGGTCCAAATCTTGCTTGCACCTCACCTTTCTCCCTTGCTTTCTATTTTTTCCTTTCCTTTTATTTATTTTTACTTCTTGACTACTGAGTCATTGTTGATCTAGGTCTTCTGCAGCAGGCTCAAGACAAACTCAGATCACAGATTTCATCTGAAGTTTAATTCAGGTACATCAAAATGATGGCATGTTTATCTAAGGTGATGATTTTCAACCTTTTTCATCTCATGGCACATAAACTAATTACTAAAATTCTGCAGCACACCAGAATATATATATTTTTGCCAGTCTGACAAAAATAGGTATAATTTTGATTCATTCACACCAGATGGCAATTGTTGTGTGGCTGTTGTAATTTTTAATTTGACAATCTAAGGGAAAAGAGGTCAGGGCCCCTCACCCAATAGTCACATATTGCATGCTTTAAAAACTCTTGTGGCATGCCGGTAGAAAATTGCTGATCTAAGGCAAACAATTAATTACATAAGATATGTAACATTAAAAAATGCCTTTTAGCCCAAGTGAACTTAGCTTAGTTCTGTCAATTCAGCCAAGGTTGAAAATCCTCCAGCTGATTCCAGGCAGTAAATAACACCCCACTGTTTGACCAATTTAATATCCTTCTGTTTCTCTTACTTGCCCATACTTCTGGCCTATCCTGATAATCTCTCTCTCTTTTAATCTTCCTTATACTTTTTGTCGTCCTCTCCTCCAGCTTTCCTCTTTCCTGTACTTTTTTGATTATTTCCTTTCTCCTTTCTGAAAATATCTTTTTTTCCCGTAGACTGTGTACCACCTTTATGACATGAGTTAAGAGAGAGAGGAGGGTTTGTTTGCCTTCTTGGGCCTTGACTTTCCTCAGCTAGAAGCCCAGCTTCTTGCCCTCCAGCACACAGCCACCTGCAGCACGGCTGTGAGGCATGTGTGCAAGACGCTTGCTCTGCTAGAACGGTTCCTCTAGAGCACTGCTGACTGTGGCGTTCTTTCCCCTTTCGTCATATTCCTTCTTCATTTTCTTCAAATGTTTTTTGCTTAAAGTCTCTTCATCCTTAGGAGTCAGTTTGGCCCCCGTCTTATGGCCCAGGGACAGTACATGGTGGGATTTGTACTGCTGTCCGTCTGGTGTGCTGTCAATGATCATGATGCAGTCATTTACTAGGGCCTTGGTGTGGACCAGGTCATTGTTGGATGCACTGTAGACAACATCGATAATTCTTGTTTTGCCTGTACAACTCTTGGAGCCCAGGAAAAGTTGCCCACATCTAGCTTCAAGACATGGTACTTTTTGCTGCCTCCTCGCGCTCCGACTGTGCGCATTCAGTGGGTGCCCATCTTAGTGTTGGCAGGAGGGTGGCCCAGCTCATATATTTGCTTCTTCTGATAGGGCTTTCTCTTGTCCCCAGCCTGTGGCACTTGTGCCAGTTGTCCTGAGAGATGCCCATGGCTCGGTGCCTACTGGGAAGAGAAAATGCAAAGTCACAGTCCTAAAATATATCTTTCAGAAATGTTCTTTGTTCATTAATTCAACTAACATTTATTGAACAATTACCTTATAGTAGGACCTTTTCTAGGTGCTGGAATACATTCTGGCAGTAAACAAAATAGATAAGTAACAATAAACGAATTAGAAATAAACTATGACATAGAAAGTGTTCAGTGCTATGGAGAAAAATTCCTGAGGATCAGGAATTTGGGTGGTGTGCTGCTGTTACAATTTTAAAGATTGGTAAGGGAACCTTGGTCAGCATGGCTCAGTGGTTAGAGCATTGGCCTGTGCACCAGAAGGTCTGTGGTTTGATTCCAGATCAAGGGCTGGTACCTGTGTTGCAGGTCCAATCCCCACCCCTATCGGTGTGTGTGTGTGTGTGTGTGTGTGTGTGTGTGTGTGACAACCAATTGATGTGTCTCTCTCCCATCAGTGTTTCTCTCGCCCTCCACCTGTTCCCTCCTCTCCACACTCTCTAAAAATCAATGGAAAAAATATCCTCACTCTTTGGGTAAGGATTAAAAAAAAAGATTGATAAGGGAAACTCATTAGATCCTTTGAGCAGATAAGTTGAAGTAAGGAAGTAAAACCTGCAAGTATTTGACTTGCATTTTTTTTTTTTTTTTTAAATATATTTTATTGATTTTTTACAGAGAGGAAGGGAGAGGGATAGAGAGTTAGAAACATCGATGAGAGAGAAACATCGATCAGCTGCCTCCTGCACACTCCCTACTGGGGATGTGCCCGCAACCCAGGTACATGCCCTTGACCGGAATCGAACCTGGGACCTTTCAGTCCGCAGGCCGACGCTCTATCCACTGAGCCAAACCGGTTTCGGCTTGACTTGCATTTTTAAAGGATCTAGAATATCGGGAGGCAATAGAAGCAAAGAAACCAATCAGGATTATATTTCAATGATCTAGGCTAAACATTAGGGCAGCGGTTCTCAACCTGTGGGTCGCGACCCCTTTGGGGGTCGAACAACCCTTTCCCAGGGATCGCCTAAGACCATCAGAAAACACATATATAATTACATATTGTTTTTGTGATTAATTACTATGCTTTAATTATGTTCAATTTGTAACCATGAAAATACATCCTGCATATCAGATATTTACATTACGATACATAACAGTAGCAAAATTAGTTATGAAGTAGCAACGAAAATAATTTTATGGTTGGGGGTCACCACAACATGAGCTGTATTAAAGGGTCGCGGCATTAGGAAGGTTGAGAACCACTGCATTAGGGGGAATGCTTTCTAAGGATTGTTAAGCATTTTGAATTGTCTTGAGCACTGCTAGGAGATCTAATGCTTGGCACATAGAAATATTTGTGGAACGAAATGATTATGTAGTCAGTTAAATGGTAAGGCTGAATTACAATACCAAGTAACTTGCTTGTGCACGATTCATTTCTCCTGCATACTCTGGTGGTGCTTATTATTGTGTCTACATTTATTTAGGAAAGAACATAAAAAACACATTATATACACACTCCTACTCTTCAAATTAAATTGTAGAGGGCACGTATCTATGTATTTTAAGTGGTTCCACAGCCATTTGTACAGTCCTCTATAGCCCTTAACTGTACTCGGTCATGTTTGCCTGTCTCCCAAGAGTCTGAGTTCCTTCAGGGTTGGGATCATCTCACCTGGCATAGTGCTTGGCAACAATGCCTGTTGAAAGGATACCTGATATGATCAAGGGCATGGAAATGAAATAAGTGAGTTACCAACACCCTCCAGAGAATCTTGTCTGATTCCTGTAAAATATATTCATTTCCCTTAGGAAACAAAGCACAACAATTCATAGTCTATGGCTTGTATTTTAAGCCCTGGATGAGCTGGAACAATGTTTTCTCGCCCTGTGTGAAGTGCCTGGTAAACAGCTGGGGAAGGAGAACTGAACTTTCGGGGCCTGAGACTTCAAGCTGGTGACAGACTGCTCCCAGTGCTCGGAGTCTGGGCACTGATCCCTTCAACAAAGAAAATGGCCTTCAGGCCCTTAGAGGTCCCAGCATCCTCCCCGGACTCCCATTTCCCCCTCAGGTGAACCTGTCCTCTAACCTCTCCCCCTCAGGTGAACCTGTCCCCCTCCCCCGCAGGTGAACATGTCCCCTCCCCCTCCCCCTCAGGTGAACCTGTCCCCGAACCCCTCCCCCTCAGGTGAACCTGTCCCCTCCCCCTCCCCCTCAGGTGAACCTGTCCCCTCCCCCTCCCCCTCAGGTGAACCTGTGCTGTACCCCCTCCCCCTCAGGTGAACCTGTGCTGTACCCCCTCCCCCTCAGGTGAACCTGTGCTGTACCCCCTCCCCCTCAGGTGAACCTGTGCTGTACCCCCTCCCCCTCAGGTGAACCTGTGCTGTACCCCCTCCCCCTCAGGTGAACCTGTCCTGTACCCCCTCCCCCTCAGGTGAACCTGTCCTGTACCCCCTCCCCCTCAGGTGAACCTTGAACCCAGGCTCCTCCCCTCAGACCTGGACACTCCAGGCCTCGCTTCCCCAAGCCTCACGCAGAGCTCTGCCCGCGCCCCCTCCCCTCGGGCGGCACTTCCGCCTGCGCCCCCTCCCCTCGGGCGGCACTTCCGCCCGCCCCCTCCCCTCGGGCCGCACTTCCGCCTGCGCCCCCTCCCCTCGGGCGGCACTTCCGTCCGGGCCCAAGACCCTCGGGCCGCACTTCCGCCCGCCCCCTCCCCTCGGGCCGCACTTCCGCCCGCCCCCTCCCCTCGGGCGGCACTTCCGCCCGCGCCCCCTCCCCTCGGGCGGCACTTCCGTCCGGGCCCAAGACCCTCGGGCCGCACTTCCGCCCGCCCCCTCCCCTCGCACACAGCCCTCCCGCCGGCCGATCCGGCGTCGCCGTGCCGCGCGCTCTCGCTTCAGGCGGGGCCGCAGGGCGCGAGGCGGCGGCGCGGCCTGAGGTGCGGGCGCCCCTCCCCGCCGGCTTCCCGGCCGCCGCTCCTCCCCGGCCGCCGCTCGTCCTCGTCCGCCTCGGCAGCGGCAAGATGGCGGCGCCCAGGCCGCCGCCCGCCGGGCTGTCTGGCATCATGGTGCCCGCGCCCATCCCGGACCTGGAGGCCCTCCGCGCGCTGACGGCGCTTTTCAAGGAGCAGCGGAACCGGTACGCGGCGCGGGCGTCCGGGCGGCCGGCTGCGGGGGGCGCGGCCTGGCGGGGGCGGGCAGCGGGGGCCGGCCCTTCCCCGGAGGCTGCGGAGGCCCCTGCGCCCGGCCCGGGCCCCAGGCCGCCTCCTCCCGCTCTGTCCCGGGGGCGCCTGGGGGTCGGGGCTGCCAGCTGCCCTCCACCTGCCGGTCCGGTGCGCTGAGGGGGACCTTACGACCCCCGAGCCCTTCGCCACCTTCGGCCGTTTCGGGGATTGAGCCGATGGCGCTCCTGCAACGTGCAGGCCGCGGGTCTCGGTGGCTGGGAGCAGGTGACAGGACCACACCGGGCGCATGGCACGTGGGGGTCGCGCGGTCAGGCACTAGGCGGCGGCTGGGCTGGCACCCCCGGTGCTGACTGCCCGCCGGGCCTCGCCGTCCCCGGGCGGGGCGGGGCGGGGCGGGGCGGGCGGCCGTGGAGAGCACCGGCCGGAGAGGTGCTGCCGGGCACCATAGCCAGGGCAGCAGGTGCCCCGGAGCCCGACAGCCCCGCATGGGCTTCCTGGCCTTGTAAGCTGCGCATTATTGACCAGTTCTAGAAGCCTTGGATTCCTTGTCTAAAAATGGGTGTATGATACACAACTTCGTTTCTGGATCGTTCAGAGGAATGAAGGCAATAGCACGCGAAAGTATCAAGTGTGTGATGCCCTCAGTCAATGCGTGTTTGAGTTTATTCGAATCTCGGCCTCAGTTGTCATCTGTTTAATGGGAATAATGTACAGTACTTGATACATACTAGGTGTACCGGTTAATAATGGCGGGTTTTGTAATCAAAGAAAACACGATCATTTCAAGAGACACATCAAAAGTGCTTTCTTCAAAGTAATATCCATCGCTAGCTACACATCTCCCCCATCTTTCAGGGAATTTGTGGAGACCGTCCCAATAGAACTTTTCTTGTTTTGAGGAAAAACCATTCAGAGACCCAATTTTCCACTTCTTCGTATGGTTGGAAGTGCTGCTCAGAAAGTGCGTGCGCCCTCGATCGGAACAAGTGGTCATCTGAAGGAGCAAGGTCTGGTGAATACGGCGGTGGGTTAATACTTCGCAGGCAAGATCTTTTAATATGTCTTAAATGGTCTTGAAGTGTGTGATGGTGCGTTATCATGAAGCGAAATTATTTTGCCATTGCTTCTGGCCCATTCTGGTCGTTTCGCCATCAAAGTGTGGTTCAAATTGATTATTTGTTGTCGGTAGCGATCAGTATTAACAGTTTCACCTGGTTTTAGAAGCTCATAATACACCACACTGTCCTGATCCCACCAAACGCAGAGCATTGTCTTCTTTCCGAAGCGATTTGGCCTTGCAGTCGATGTTGATGGTTGACCTGGACCAACCCATGGTTTTGTGCGTTTGGGATTCTCAAAATAAATCCACTTTTCATCGCCAGTCACAATTCGATGCAAAAAAGACTTTTTTCGTGCCGTTGAAGCAACATTTTACTGATGACTTTTTGGTTTTCCACTTGTCTTTCATTCAGTTGATGTGGAGCCCATTTTCCTTCCTTTAAAATCTTTCTCATTGCTTGTAAGCGATCGGGAATTGTTTGCTGAGCAACATTTAATCTTTCTGCAAGCTGTTTTTGAGTTTGACACGCATCTTCATCCACTAATGCTTGTAATTGTTGGTCTTCAAACTTTTTCGGTTGACCTGGACGTTCTTTGTCTTTCACATCGAAATCATCACTTTTAAAGCGTTTAAACCAGCGTTCACAAGTATTTTGAGATGGAGCATGTTTGCTATAAGCTTCCCGAAGTATACGATAACTTTCAGCAGCACTTTTCTTCAAAATAAAGTAATGAATTAAAACTTCCTGCAAATGCTCTTTTTTTGGCATGAAATTCGACATTTTTAAGCGTAAAAATATCTATGATGTTAACACCTTCAGGAAATTTGACATATGTTTTGAAGCTTGTTGTCAATACAACAAAATAGCATACATATCCGATCGCATATATGTCACCATAGGTGTAACTCCATCTAGTGAAAAAATCCGCATTATTAACCGGTACACCTAGAAGTACTAAGTAAATGTTAGCTGGTATTGTCGCTTCATATATTTGTGTCCCCAAATACCAGGTTTTGTGAAAAGTCCTGTTCTGGGAAGCCAGCAGACAGTCATGCAGTCCCGGGGGGTGCATACAGAGGGTAGAGAGAACATACAAGAAAGGCACACTAGGGTTGGGTGGGTCCAGATGATCCCTGGAGGTCCTCTTGTCTTTAAACTGGACCCCTTCATTGGAGCACTTCTGCCTCAGATCACAATGGCGTGTCTGTTGAGAGAGGGCTGAATGCTTTTTGGGAGGTGATGTTAACTGATATGGTACTGATGGGAGATGTGTTGACTGAGTTAAGGCTTCAGCAGATCTAAACCAGGATGGGCCTGTGACTAGTTCCCAACCATTTTGAGCACCCCCTATGAAACAGGCTCTTTGCTAGGGGCTGAGGGTACAAAGGTGAATGTGATGTGACCCCCTTTTTCCAAGCATATTAGGGAAGTTGCTGTGTAAGCAAACTGTAATGGGAGGATCTAGACAAGAAGAGGTGGTGGCCCAGGGGACCATATGGGTCTGTTTGTTGGATACATGGATGAGCCAGGAAAGGTTTTAGATGACATTGGCTGCGTGGCTTACAGATGAGAGGGCTGACTAGGAAGAACAGCATATGCAGAGGGACCATAGGCTGATTTTGCAGGCATTCCGAAAGGGTAAATGAAATAACAGGAGACATTCAAACATCAGACCCCTTTCTGTAACCTGAGGAGAAAAATCCAAGACCCTCAGTCAACTTACAAGGCCTTTTTCTGTTCTCTTGCGGGGGAGTTAATGGGAACTAGGGCAGGGCCTCTCCAGGGAGTGGCATGAGAAGGTCTGCATATGACAAAGAGCTCTCTGGCTGCCCCTGTGGGGACTAAATTAGAGAGGGGGGGGCTGGAGGCAGGGGACTTGGAAGGAGCTGATGCAGAAGCCCCGGTGAAAGGAAAGTGCCGCATTAGGACATTGTCCATGGGGAGGGACAGGATAAACGTTGAAAAGTATTTACAAGTTGTTTGGACAGGTCTTGGGGACCAAATGGATTATTAGGGGAGAATGAGGAAACAGATGCTGCCCACATTTGGCTGGAGTTTTTCTGGAACCTGTCCTGTTCCAGGCAGGATTTGGAGACCAGGAAAGGTGAACTGATGTTCAGGTCCTGGGGCGGGGAGGCCATTGCTGGTGAGGCAGAGACCTGATGAGAGTTTGTGAGGACGGGCTTCTGGTCCTGGTTCTGCCTCTGCTTCTCTGTGTGTCTTTGGACAGATCACTAGTTGCCCCTCAGAGGGGTCTCATGGTTTAGACCAGAGCCCAGCTGCTCTGAGAGGATCCCTCCACTGCAGAGGGACCCAGAGCGGGCATGGGCCGCAGTGCCAGGAGCTGGATGGGAAAAGTGAAGCAAAATGAGGCCTCAGAGTAGCAGATAGAAAACATCCGACAAAACAGAAACAGACTGAAGAAAGTAAGAAAGCAATTGATGGAACAAGATTTGCATGTTAGCTGAAAAAATGTATTTTGTGGGTCTTCGAAGACTTGATGCTACAAAACCAGCTTCTGTCTGTGGTAGCTGGAGTGACAGAAGTGTCATGTAGTGGAAAGAACAATAACTTGGGAACCAGGTAGACCTGGACAAAAACCTGGGCTTACCTATCTCTCTGGACTTCTTATTTCTCGACTTGAAAATGTGGATGATACCTCCCACTTTGTAGTTATTGTGAGGATCTGTACCACTATACGTATAGCACGGTGTTTTATGCCTAGCGGGTGCCATTTAGCACCTGCTATTAAAAAGTAACTGGGCTGGAAGCGACCAAGAACCCAGTTGTGCTTATCTGCCTTTTAGAAAGCAATGGACGCTATTAAAAAGGTGATAACGCTAATTTTGGGGTTTAGCCAACCCCAACCCAGTGAGGTAATTCTCCTGGCTCATTGCAGTGGCTTTGATATGTTCACAAACTCTCTGCCCTTCAAGAGGAGGAGGGTAATTCCTCTCTCCTGAGTGGGGGCTGCATTTAGTGATTTGCTTTGAAATAAGAATGTGGCAGAAGTGGCAATGTGACTTCTGAGCCTAGGTCATGCATGAAAGCATTGCAGCTCCTCACTGCTCTCTGGGATCACTTTGACACAGCCAGCTGCCATGTCCTGAGGACACTTGGGCATCCCTAGGCATCTGCTGGTGAGGGATTGAGGCCTCCTGCCAGCAGCCAGGGAAGGAGCCATTTACAGTTCCTGAGAAACCTTGAGCCGAACCACTCCACTCAGCCACTAACAATCCGCAGGCCTGTGTAGGACCCGAAATATTACTGTTTTAAACTGCGAGATTTTGGAGTCATTTAATAAATAGCAATGGATAATTAGTATTCCAATCTAAATTCTACTCGATCTGGATTAAACTCAGATTCAATAACCCATTTCTTTTTTTTTTTTAACATAAAATAATAGAACATTTTATTTATTTATTTTATTATTATTTTTTTAATTAAATCTTTATTGTTCAGATTATTACATTTGTTCCTCTTTTTTCCCCCCATAACTCCCCTCCTCCCAGTTCCCGCCCCACCCTCCGCCCTCACTCCCCACCCACTGTCCTCATCCATAGGTGCACGATTTTTGTCCAGTCTCTTTCCGCATCTCCCACACCCCTTTCCCCCCCAAGAATAGTCAGTCCATTCCCTTTCTATGTCCCTGATTCTATTATGATCGCCAGATTATTTGTTCACTTGATTCTTAGATTCACTTGTTGATAGATGCATATTTGTTGTTCATAATTTGTATCTTTACCTTTTTCTTCCTCTTCCTCTTCTTAAAGGATACCTTTCAGCATTTCATATAATACTGGTTTGGTGGTGATGAACTCCTTTAGCTTTTCCTTATCTGTGAAGCTCTTTATCTGACCTTCAGTTCTGAATGATAGCTTTGCTGGATAAAGTAATCTTGGTTGTAGGTTCTTGGTATTCATCACTTTGAATATTTCTTGCCATTCCCTTCTGGCCTGCAAAGTTTCTGTTGAGAAATCAGCTGACAGTCGTATGGGTATGCCCTTGTAGGTAACTGAGTTTCTTTCTCTTGCTGCTTTTAGGATTTTCTCTTTGTCTTTTGCTCTTGGCATTTTAATTATGATGTGTCTTGGTGTGGTCCTCTTTGGATTCCTTTTGTTTGGGGTTCTCTGCGCTTCCTGGACCTGTAAGTCTATTTCTTTCACCAGGTGGGGGAAGTTTTCTGTCATTATTTCTTCAAATAGGTTTTCAATATCTTGCTCTCTCTCATCTTCTGGCACCCCTATAATTCTGATGTTGGTACGTTTGAAGCTGTCCCAGAGGCTCCTTACACTATCTTCGTAT